TAAAAACAGTTTTCTTGACATTTCTTGATCCACAGCAGTTTAGAATTGTCTATTTCTGTTGGTGTCAAACATTTTTGAAATTTGTCATTCAATTTTCTTACTTTGGAGATCATAGTCTTGGTGAATCTGAGAACCCAGGCAGTCGTTCTCAGAAGTCGGGACAATTTCGAAAATCTGTTGATATCTGGTAGATATGGAGTCTCTTCTACAGCTATGTCAACGAATTCAGTGTCTTCATTTTCATCAATTACCTTGTCTTGATATTTCTTCGGCCAAAGCTCTTCATCTCTATCATAAAGGAATGCGGGACCTTTGAACCATGTCTCGAAGTCGATTTTTTCGTCTGAATCATATGATCTGGTTGCGATATCTGCAACATTCAATTTCGATGGAACCCAGTACCAATCTTTTACATTTGTGATCTCTTGAATTTCGCCGATGCGATGGGCTTCAAATTGTCCAAGTTTTCTAGCATCACCCCGTATCCAATAAAGAACCGTAGTCGAGTCAGTCCATAAATATAATCGGTCGATTTTTGTCTCCATGGTTTCTTTGATGGATTTGGCTAGTCGGCTTCCCATAACAGCGGCTTGAAGTTCTAGTCCAGGTATCGAGATTGGTTTCGTCGGAGCAACTCTAGCACGTGCCATAACGAGTGTTATATTCACTGTTTCGACGGTTAATGTCCTGAAGTAAGCCGCAGTAGCAAAGGCTTTTTTACTGGCGTCGCAGAACACGTGTAGCTCCAATTTTTCTGCTTCAGGAATTCTTGAAGAGTAGCATCGAGCAATGGAGAGATTCTCGATTTTTTCCAGATCTTTCTTCCATAAAATCCAAGTTCGGTTCAAGTCTTCGTCTATGTGATCGTCCCATCCAATACCAGATCGCCAAATATCCTGAATGAGGATTCGGGCTTTGATGGTGAAGTTCACAATGAGTCCAAGGGGGTCAAAAATGGACATAGCCGTCTTCAATACCTGTCTTTTTGTCGGTATGTTGAGGTCATCGTCAGATCCTCTCAGTTTTTCTAATTTGAAGCAGAATGTGTCCAATTTTGAATTCCACGAGAGTCCCAAAATTTGCTGAGTTTTGCTATCACAGTCCAGATTCAAATCTTTGTATATATCTCCATTCTGAGAGAGTCTTTCCATGAGATGCTTGCTGTTAGAAATCCAGTTCACCAATTCGAAACCACCTAGTTTCTGGATTCGTTTCACCTCGAATATAATATCGAGAGCCTCTTCAATAGTGTCCGTACAGTCCAGGTAATCGTCTACAAAATGCTTTTTTATTATTGCTTCAAGGATCTCTCTTCGGTCGGTAAGTTGATTTGCATTCAGATTTTTAATGAATTGAGCGCAGGTGAGTAAGCATGTAGCCCCAAACGTCATGACTTGCATCTCATAGATATCTAACTGTCTTTCTGGATCTCCATTTCGCCATAAAAATCTCTGGGAGCTTTGGTCGTCCTTTATGATGCGTACCTGGTGAAACATTTCACGGACGTCACTGCTGAATGCAATTTTCCGAAGACGGAATTTCATCAGCACTTCAATAAGGGGTTGTAACAAGTCCGGGCCACTTAGTAGGTTATCGTTGAGGCTGACTCCGTGTGACTTGGATGCTGCGTCAAATACCATACGGAATTTGCCAGGTTTCTTCGGATTGACAACTCCGAAATGGGGCAAATACCAGTTTCTGGGACCTTCCATTGCTGCTTCTTCGGAAGACAACTTCCGGGCGTATCCCTTCTCCACATAACTGGCGATTTTTTCGCAGTACCGAGCCTTGAATTCGTAGTTACGCTGCATTTGTCTTTCAATACATCTGAGACGTTGAATTGCTGTCGATTTACTCTCTGGTAATTGTAAATTGTCTTCTCTCCACAATAGTCCTATTTCGAATCGATCACTAAGGCGTTTAGCTGTTTTTTCCATGATTTTCATCGCTCTGTTTTCATTTTTCGTGAGTAGATTAGGAAAAGGAATTGTTCCAAAGGCGTCTGTTGCGAAAGATTGCTTTACCAACTCATGAAGATTTTCGTCTGATATCTCACTGTCACAAATGTGGAATGAATATAACTTGGACTCATTCGCCATTGCCTTACCATGGAGAATCCATCCGAGCTTGGTCTTGGTAGCTATAGGAGATGTGAAGTCTTCATCATCCTGTACTACTTTCCTGGCGACTGTCAAGTGGATATTATCTTGTCCAAGTAATATCATAGGCTGTTCGTCGATTTCACTGAATGGGATTCCTCCAAGATATGGGTATCTTTCCCAGTCAGTCGACTGAATGGTTTGAGTGGGTAGCGATAAGTTCTCAACACTCGTTACATTCCGTATGGGAAAGATTTTGGCATCCTTGTAAGCTCCAGATATTTCTAGGTTCACACAAATCGAATTCTCATGTCTAGAAGTCATATTATTCGTCCACTGCATGCATAAAGGTTGTGATTTCCCTTTTAGATGTAGCTTTTTGGTCAGGGTTTTGTCAATCAATGTAATACTCGAACCTTCATCACAAAGAGCAACAGTTTCGATCATTGTATTCTCCCCATAAAGTTTCACCTTTACCATTCGAAGAAGAACATTTCCAGAGCCATGTCCGATGGCAAGGATATTTTCCTGATGTTCCTGACTTGTACTGGGTGTCGAAAGGGAGTCGTCAGTATTTTGTTTTTCTGCAGGCTGAGGGTCTTTGTGGAGAATATGATGATGGTTTCGTCTGCAACCATTTATTCCACACTGTTGCTTGGATCGGCATCTGGTCGTTTGATGGTTGTTTCGAAGGCACGAAAAGCATAACTTGAGCTTTGTCACTACATCCCATCGTGTATCCACTTCGTCAGACTTCATTTTTGAACAATTTGTGATTAGATGTCCTCTAGATCTGCAGTATCTACAATATTCTACATTTTCTCCTTTGTCTGTTGAAACCAAGTTACTTTCATGTCTTTTTTGTAGTGGAAATGTATTTTTAACTTTTGATTCAACCTTAGGATTTCTTGAAAAGTTCACGAGGCTTGCCGCGGATGCTTTCTCATTCATCCACACCGAAAAATCTTCGAGATTCGCTCGTCTACTGCTGTGTATAATTTTCTCACCCCACTGTAGTTTCAAAGAATCGGGCAGTTTTTGAATCAGGTCTCGCAAAAGTTGAGGATTTTGGAGATGTTCATAATATTCAAGAGACTTGATTTTTGCCACAAGACAGTTAAGATTGTTTGAGTCCATATTATGTTCTCTGACGAATGGTAACATTTTTGTCTTGGTGATTAATCCATCAATAATTTGGTCTGGACGTCCGAAGCGCATTTGAAGGGTCTCCAATATCAAATCAATATTCGCCGAGGTGGTCAACATGCCTGAGACTGCCAGTCTAGCCTCACCTCGGAGACACCTTGAAGTTTGATGATTTTTTCTTCTGGCGAATATTCACATAATGTAGAAATTCGTTTAAATTGATTGATGAACGTGGGCCATTCCTCGGGGTTTCCATCAAAGTAACTGAAATCTTTTTCCACCACCTGCCTGGCTATGAATCTATCTTGTCTTGGCACGGAGGAAACTGATTTTATAGCTTCACTTATAGTTTCACAGAGCTGTCTGATTTCAGTGTTTTCACAATTATTTTGCATAATTTCTGTCCTCTTTATTTCTTGTTGACAACCGGAATTATTTTCAGGAATACTGTTTACCCATTGTATGGTATTCCTTGCACACTGGTCTTGAGGTAACCTGCTTTTTACTGAAACAGTTTCGTCTTGTTCTATTAATTCTGTTTCACGTACTTCGTTCTCAAGTTCCAGCAATTTGAGTTCATTTTCAAGTTTTTTCATTTCGATGGCCTGTCTCAACTTCTCGACCTCAAGGGCATGTCTTTTTCTGTGCACAGTAAAACTACTACTCACAGAGTTTTTTGTCTTTTTTGAACAAACAGATGACTTATCCAAGTTATCATTGTCAGGTTTGGAATTAGGAGTTACATTCGCTTTGTCAGTCTGGCTAAGTGACTCCTCTTCCACTGGGTTTTCATCCTGATTGTTCATATTCATAATATTTACACCCTGGTTTGGCTGAAGTATCGTATCATCATTTTTTCTTGTCACATTGACTCCTCTCCTTGACATATTTCCAAAATTTGGTGGCCATTCAAAATCGTTGTCAAGATTACCGTGAGTACCTGCTGTTTTCCGGGTACTGGTGAATTTCTTCAAATTCTCTTCTCTGGGCTGCATTTTCCAAAGAACCAGTTATCTGGCTCGAAGGACCAATGTTAAATCTCTTTCGTCGAATAATCAAAAATTGTCTGGTCTTAATTTTACCTTTTATTTCGTCTCGTACAATTAGAACTCTGACGTCTTTCAAAATTATTATTTTTCACTACTATCTTTTTTTTTCTATCAAACCTCAATGACATATCCAAAACTATATACAAAGCGTTCAACTAAAATATAACGAAGTAACACTCACCAAAATAGGTTATTGTTTGGCAAAAACTTGCTCATCTAAAATATTTAAGATGACGGTGGTACAAGTATTTAATGGTTTAAAGAAGGCTTCAACTATGAAACATTTTCTCCAAAGGAAGCAAACACGCCGTTATTAGTCCAGCATTAGATATCCTACAGTTATTGCATTATTTCATCAGAAACACTAATCGAAAACCTATTTTTACTTTTTGAACCTATTAATTATCGTTTTGGAGTGAACCAAGAAACTTTAGGAGGAAAATGAAGCATTAGGCCAAACAACTCAACATATTTCGTATGGACATAGATCTAAATATGGTATGGAGTGCTAGTGAAATAGAGATATGGGAACGGTAAGAAAGCGCTAAGATATCCTCGCGTATTAGATAATAATATGCAATGTTTTATTAAAAAATTATGTAAAAGGATACCTATATTATTCCATACGAAATGAATAAAAATTTCACAGATTTCTGAGTTGATACCTTCTCGGTTGCCCATTTTTGTTATAGATATAGGTACTTACCAACATCGTACGTATTGATTGAAGCAACATAATAATATTGATTTGCTGGTTCACTCCAATCAACTTCGACTATCGAATAATTCGGGTGAGTCGTCAGGAAGGCATTTTTCAAATCCTCATACCATGCGGTTTCCCTATTACTGGTCCAACCATGAACTAGAAATACTAATTTATCGCTGACATTCCTTAGGGGTTCCAAATCTGATGGATCCAACTTGATAAACTTATTAGGATTTTTACTTGTATATAAGTAATACGTGACATTCTCTGGTGTAACAGGCTTGTGAAGTAAGTCGCGAGTTTCAACGGCAGCATGTCTGTGGATATTGAAGACATCAGCCTTCAGAAAATCAGGTATCAAACATTGCACACCTGAAAAGATATAAAGTTATATACTGTCTGTAGGTTAATCTGATTTGTCTATGGAAACGAGGAGAGAAAACCCCAAAAAAACTAGAATAATGAATATAAGGTATGTATACACCATGATAATGATTCTTTGATGTTGATTCAAAAAAGTTCCATTTTCTGTTTGAACTTCACTAAGGGGAATCCTCTGATTGGCGATGACTCAAAATGTTCGCCTGTTTCATCAAAAGTGGATAGATGACGTCGTCACGGTGTTGCCATATTGATTTCAGAAATAATGTCTCCTGCTCCGCCATGTTAAAAACAAATGTCCACTTGTGATATGCTATTGAGAAGGAAATTTTTCACTCTATCGAATGGTGAAAAAATCTCTACTGAAACACTTTAAATAGGTATTGTAGTAATATGACCCTGTATCTTCAAGGGATGATAGATGATCGTCAGTCACTCAGTCAGTCTGAAGCAGTCGTCATACAAAACAGACGTCAGTCGACTCGCGATACATACACGTACAAGCAGAATACGATTCAGACAAGCCTCGTTACATACATACATCCATTTCGAGTACATTCTTACCTCAACATTTATTGTAATTAGTGTTTATTGTTTTCATTAAAGTGCTTTCCATTTGGACCCATTTCCTGACAGTAAACGTCATCATTCCATCATAGCACAGGTATATTTCTAGTGAAGCCGGAAGTGATATACAATTGTTTTTTCATTGGAAATATGAGTTTCGAGGAACTATATTTTCGATCCAAATGTCAAAATTCTAACATGAAAAACTTCTCGACGATACCCTCCTCGAGTACCACTTCCCTAGCTACTCATGAGATCAATATAAATAAGTAAACTGAGAATATTGTGTTTTTGCTATGATTCGAAATTCGGGTTCCACTATGAGCTGCGTAGATTACATAATCTGTCGATTTGCCCACGCCGAAGTTGCAAAAATCATCATTCAAGTGCGTGCGTGCAGCTGCTATAGGAACTATATGTATTTCCCCACTTCGCGCTACTCTGCCCTTCTCACAATTTCCACAGTATGACTTATATTATCCTTTCTCGTGAAAGGATAATATATACTGTGTGCTATTTCTTTTCGCTCTCTCGCACTGTTCCCATATATATCACCCAACGTTCAAATGCGAAACCTAGGCTTACCGCCAGAGCTGAATTTGCATGCGCATATCCGGAAATATGACATTTGACATAAAGACTGCACTTGTTTAGACCTGTTGTACTTGAATATGTGAAAATACACAGGGACTTCCATTTGAAAAAACGAAGTTGGTGGCATTTCCAGACATACCGGATATCCGTTCTATTGGATTGGTAGGTGATCAAATCCGAAATATTCGTTCACGAATGCAAAAGTTAAAATGGTGGCACGATACCCTCTGTGTCACCCGGTATGACATGCATGAGCTTTTTATTTAACAATAATTGTACATTACTCGAGCTGTAGAAGTCCTGCTACCAAAAACTGACTCACCCTGTATATATCATAATTTAGTTATTATATTAAAGGATTATATTAAGGAAATTTCTTCACATAATTTTTAGATTATGCATCAATACAACAAGAACATTGAGATTTAGTTATTATATTCAGTAAACAAATAAAGATTTCAACCGACAGATTAAGGAGATTCCTCCACATAATTGTTATATTATGCGTCGATACAACAAGAACATTAAGATTCAGTTATCATATTCAGTGAACAAATAAAGATTTCATCCAACAGATTAAGAAAATTCCTCCACATAATTGCTATATTATGCGTCAATACAACAGATGAAGCGTGTGTTTAATAATCTGACGCGGTCGAGTATTTCAAGGTCACTTTTTTTTTCAAAAATTGGTCATGACTTCTGGTCACGTTCAAATCGTCAGTCTTTTGAATAGGAGCTACTTCAGGGCTCACTTAACATCCCTTCTCGCAATACCTGACGAGCTCGAATAATTTTTTTTACCTATTCTCTACCCCTTTCGTACGGCCACCCCTGGGTCGCATACACTATTATAATATCTGAAGCGCTCGAGTATGTCTTCGTGACTGTTTTTTTACATTTCTGAAAACCTGTATGTACACGCTTTCCACACAAGTGAAAGGGCATACCTCATATAAACTTTTTTCTTTTCAGCATATCATATCTTCATAGTCTAATATATAGTTCCCCCCGACGCTCGAGTTAATCTAGGCCAGTCATTGGGGATTTTTACCTGGAAAAAAGTCCGGAAGTTTTGAAACTTTGTAGGATTATAGTTTTGGGTGTCCAGAACTAAAATTCACAAAATGCACATTCCGGGACATGCCGCCGGCGCCGCCATCTTGAAAAGATGGCGCTCGAAAACGGTTTTTTGAAAATATCTCCAAAACGGTGCGTTTTTAGAAAAAATATGAAGACATAAATATTCAAGACTAAGAAATTTTCTACAAGAAATGTTCTTACTATATTTTTGCTGAAGTGAGCCGTTTAGGCCCAAGAGCTGATTGAATGACATCATATTCTGTTAATTTCAATAAACTGCCCCTAACTATCTCCAAATATGCGTATAAATTTATCTTTTATAATGAAACGGGCTATCTAATTGGTTTCTTTTATATTTATAGCTTGCTGACAGAGGATATTTCCTATAAAATATGTTCCTAGAATATTCTCGCTAAAGTACCCTCGTTAAGGCACAAGTGCCCTTACCAAATTACAAATGTTGCGTTTTTTTCTGTAGTGGCGAGTTTCGGAAATAATATGTGTATTAGGGGTCCCCAAATTTGATATTTACCGACTTTTAAAATATTTATCACGAAACGGTGGATATCCATTATTCAATTAATCGATGAATTCATCAATTAATCCATGTTAATAATTTATGATCAAACAATTTCGATTTTAAATGCTGTACTTGTTTCCACACCACCCAAGAGGCTAAGTACACGGCGCGTTTTGTTTAACGTGGTTTCCCCTGTAGTCCTAATCCACTCAGGTACTGAAATTATTTTTGGCAAAGGCCAGACGGACCTGGCTCGTTGATTTCGATATATTCAACGGGGAAACTGGTTACCTCAGCTCCAGAATCGATGTTAATTTCCTTCAACTCGTCGGATTCTTCTTCTGCAGTCGATGTCGTCCAGTGTCACTTGGCTGATATTTTCACAAGCTTTCCCGTTGCAGACACCGCAAATCATCGAACATCGCAATCCTGCTCTCCTGCATCCGCAGGCTCTACCACAAGCCGCCTTGCACTTACAAGATAAAAAAGCAAGTAGTGCTTTGGAAGCAGGATCTTTCAAAGTAGTTATTGGAGTGAGGCCAGTTTGTATTTTCTTCCAACCCCATTCTTCAACTACTTTCGGACAACCACGCCATAGTTGAACCTGATAGTACGTTCTCAACGAATGCTGTGGTGCAGCTGCGCTTGTCGGTGGTAAAGATGCCAAATTGAATTTACTTTTTGTTACCGACTTCACGAAACCCTGGTATCGATATTTATCAAGATTGGTGTAATTTGTGTCTTTGAATCCATAGAGTGCAAGGAAAAATTTCTCACCGGCAAAGGCAACTTGATCAGGGGTGGCATGTTCATTATTAAAAACTTTAATATGATCTTGTAACTCTTTATGTTTTTCTAATGTTGTTAGAACCTTCATTTTTCCTTGGTTAAATACGGTCTCCCAATTTTTTCATGTCCGTTTTTCTCGTAAAATTACTGATTGGCAAATTGTGTTCGTTAGGAAAGGTAATTTAGTTAAGTTCTTGTGTTTTTACCGTTTATAAAAATATCTCATCTGAAATATATATTTTGTGTATTTACTCATATTGGAATAGGGTGATAAAGACAAGAAAGCAAAATTTCAAATTTCTATGAATTTATGGGCGGTTTTACAGTACGAGAAGGTATACCTATATCTACGGATACATAGTATAAGTACGAAATTTACTCATAACCATCCTGCACCCACATACTTCTGGAGCAAAGTCGCCAGATTCGTCGATAATGCAATTTTTATATCGCCCAAATAAGTCACAAATGCAAAATTTTTGTCGCATAATTGATCTAAAAATCGTCCAATATAACGAGGAACAAATTGAATAGCCCGTTTTATTATAAAATATGAATTTATACGCATATATGGAGATAGTTAGGGGCAGTTTATAGAAATTAACAGAATATGTTGTCATTCAATCAGCTCTTGAGCCTAAACGGCTCTCTTTAGCAGAAATATGCTCGTAACACTTCTTGTAGAAAATTTCTTCATCTTAAATTTTTATGTCTTCATATTTTTTTTAAAAACGCACCGTTTTGGAGATATTTTCAAAAAACCGATTTTGAGCGCCATCTTGGCAAGATGGCGGCGCCGGCGGCATGTCCCGGAATGTGCATTTTGTGAATTTAAGTTCTGGACACCCAAAACTATAATCCTACAAAGTTTCAAAACTTCCGGACTTTTTTCCAGGTAAGCCTTATTTTGGATCCCCAATGACTGAACTAATCCCCATTTAGCCTCTTTGCCTCCTCTACTATGAAGCACAACCAGCACAACCTAGAAACTGTCGTAAACTCATATACCCGTTATTCGATCAGGACCCCCAAAATGGATTAAAATGATTTCCAGCCCTCGAGCAATTTTTAGGGGTTAGAGCTTTTCTTTGCACTAATTATCCTGGGCATTGTCGTAAAGTTATCTAATACATTTCGACCGTTATCTGATAGCGAAATGATATACAGGGTGATTCACATAACAACCGACATAGGGCAGGGGCATGTAGGGGGTCCCAAAATATGGCAATTTAACGCAACTTACCTCTATACCAAGTTACTTTCCTAAGGAGTTATAGGCATAGCACTAACAGCATGTCAACTTGCTCGTTAAAAGAAAACTTCCCGTTCATTTTGAAAACACTCAAACAACAATTTTTCATAGCCAACGCGTTTTCAGTTATTCGAGTTTTTGATGAAAATGATGAGGTTTTTCGTAAAATTACTAGAGTAAGAAAAG